TTTTTGGTTTTTGTTTCGATTTGGTTTTTACGATTTGGGTGTTTTGGATTTTTTTTCGTTTTTTTTCGATTTGGTTTGTTGTGGTGGTGGTGGGAAGGAGTTGGTAGATTTGGGTTGTGGGGGTGGCGAGGTGGAGATATAGGTTAGGTGGCGAGGTGAATTTGGGCTAGGTGGCGAGGTGAATCTGGGTGATTTAGGTTAGTTTTGGTTAGGGTTCGGTGGTTGTGGTTGGTGAATCTGGGCTAGGTGGCTGGTTTGGCTGATTTGGGTTAGTTTTCGGTTAAGGTTCGGTGGTGGTGATACGCCGTGCCGGTGGTGGAATGGCGTTTTTTTTTTTAATTTCTAAAAATCAGTTTCCGACAGAAATTCCGTTGGAATTTTCCGGCAAAACAGTATTCGTCGGAAATTTCTGACGGATTTTTCCAATGCCAGAATTTCTCTTCCGACGGAATTTCCGCCGGAAAAGTGTTTCCGATGGAATTTCTGTCGGAAAAGGTCATTTTTCCTACGAACGATTTTTCGACAACCAGTTCCGACGGAATTTTTTCGTTGAAAATGACCTGTTTTCTAGTAGTGTTGGACAACATGCACAATTATATATGTTTTTTGCAAAGCTATTGTTTTTCCTTCATCATCTTATTTTTTAATTAATCAGACCATTTTTGTACTTTTTTTTTGTCCTTGTACAAAAAAATATAGAAAGAAAATGAGTGTCGATTGTCCCTTGGGAGGAAGTAGGAGAAAAATTACCCAAAAAAGTAATGCCGTAATTAATTTAAAATGGATGAAACAAAAAAAAAAAAAATTTGGAATGAAAAGGGCTGGATGAGGTCAACTATATTGAAAATTTTCCAAGTCAGAAGAAGATATGCCATTATTTCAGTAATTACCACATTAGCTTAGTACTAACAGACAACAAATAGTACTAACAGTATATACATTAAATTCACAACTTACCATTCACGTAAAACTTTCGCTCTATCTCCTTTTGGATTATGGATAATCCTAGTAGACATGCTCGTTGAAAGTGCAAATGCTGTTGGAAAATGCACAGTGTGTTTATTACTACTTAATAAGTTTCTTTATATATACAAAATCTATAGCAAAATTTAATAAACAGCATTCTCTATAGGTTTATACCTTTCTTTAGATTCAACCAAAGTGCTGTAGAACCAACAACTTCAAACTTTTCAACCCATGTATTCAGAGCATCACAAGCAGAACCCGGCAAGTCATTCCATGCGGAAATTGTTATAGGCTGATCATTCCTGATACATTAACTCAAATTATGGTAAGTTTTCTGAATAGGAAATACCTAGTTGTATAAAAGATTCTATACAGATTCATATTCTTACGTCTGAACTGTAACAACTATCTCTCTGACATAGCATTGGTAATTAGAAGAAAAATCAACTGCACGTGCAGCATCCTCGAAAAACAACACTACTCCAAAAATATATGTTAGAATGCATTATATAAATTAGATTCTAAAAATCATTCAAAAAATTATAATCCATATTTTTTGTCCATTTTGATCTTACATATTGATTATACAGCTGGCTAAAAATCTGTATTCCGTACAATGATTTAAACAGTATATCCTTTAATATAAAAATACTCTACTTGTATAAAATAAAAAAATAAAAACTTATAAATGTAACAATTTTTTCACCACCCATGTCAACTCTTGGAATAGAAGCAATAGATTGAAACTTAGGCACCACGCAACCAGATTCAGGACATATAGGCTGAACAACTGTACGCAGGTTAAATTGCAGCTGAAGCGGTAAATGCTCATTAGCAGTCCGATATTGATCTTCAAGTGGTTTCACTATGGAATTGGAAATTTTGTATTCGTCGTTATACACAATTGCATCCTCATATGCCTCGATTCGATCGTTGAATAAAGTTGCACGTATCTGATTTCCTTTTATATATATATATATATATATATAGCCAAATGTTTTGGGTATTTTTGGTCCCTCGGGAGAGTTACAATACTGAGTATGTGCACCTGACTTCTGTACCTGCAAAACCACGAAACTCCGGTTGGGGAGTTCCGCCTCCTAAGATCAAGTTAGTATGATTCCGGATGAGTAAACGGGCGAAAAGTGAATGAGTTTTTCTCACTGATTCAGAGAGATTCCGCAATTAATATTGCTCAGGTTTCGAATATGTATTTTTTGAATCCCCAATAAATGAGGAGGATTCTTCTATTTATAGCAGATCTGCTCCCCCATTGGGGGTTCAGTGCCACGTGGCATCTTCTGATTGGATCTCCTTGGGCCTGTTGGAGGGTGACACGTGTAAGGCCCTCATTGGGGCACATGGAAAGGGTAATTTTTACCCTAATCATTTGCCCCTAGCCACGTGTCACCTATGACAGGTGTCAAACATTGAGGAGGCGACGGTTGATTTGCTTCCCGCCTCTCTCTTGGATTCGAATTTTGAAAAGTTGAGGCAGAAGGTGGCGATTCGCCTTCTGGGCTTGCCTATAAATAGAGACGAACCCCCTCTCTCCTCTTCACTTTACACATTTTGCAAAAAATTCTCTCGAGTGCTCTGATACCAGCTGCTTAATTGTGCACCCAGCTTCCTTGCTTGAACACATCCGGATACCGGTTGAGTGCTTCTTCAATCAACTCACTCAGGTACCGTCTGGCTCTAGATTTATTCTTGATTTGAGTAGAACTACATACAGGCGGTCTTAAATCGTCTGGGGCACCTTAAACCCTTTTTTCATGTCTTGCATTTGGTAGACCCACAGACGGTTTGGACCGTCTGGGGTATCTTCAAACCATGGTCTTAAAAAATAGACCCTCAGACGGTTATGGACTGTCTGAGGTATCTTCAAACAATGGACTTTCAAATAATGCATCCCATAGGCCCACAGACGGTGATATACCGCCTGTGGCATCTCTAATCAATTGTCTTCAAGGAGTTGCATTTAAAAGACCCACAGACGGTTACATGCCGTCTGGGGCATCTTCAGATAATAGTCTTTAATATCTTGCACTCAATAGCCCCTTAACCGGAAATATTCCGCCTGGGTCATCTTCAAACAATTACTTATCAAGGACTTGCATTTCATAGAGTTGGATCATGTGAAAACCAACCCTAAGCTGAAAACTAAAAATATGACATCTTAACCGTAGATTGTGATTTACCATTGACCCATCAAATCTTACGGTCGAGATTTTTTCCCCGAATTTTCATGCAAAAATTCTACAATTTCTCTCTCCTCCTTTTCTCTCCTAATTTCTGGGTTCCTCCTCTACCTTCTCTCTCCTACTTTCTCTCTCCTAATTTCTCGAGATTTTTGCCCCCAATTTCCTGAAGATCTTGAACTCTCCGAATCCAGAAATCTCCGATCTCTGGTTTGATATCATCTTCATCTTCTTACTCTATCAATTTTAAAATCAAAATTTCGCTGTATCAATTCTAATCTTGATTAGAATATAAATTTAGTTTGATTTTGTTTGATTTTGCGATTTCCTGTTCGATTTTGTTCAATTTTTTTCGATTTCCTGTTTGATTTTGCTTGGTTTTTGTTCGTTTTCATTTGTGATTTTTGTTCAATTTCTGATTTTTTTTCTCATTCAGTTTTCATTCAAAAAATTTTCTCCCATTTTCTCTTTCCTCCATTCGCAATCTACAAATCATCACTTCATTACTTTGTCTTCTGAGATTTTTCACTCGTCAAACAGTTTAACCCTAATTCTCTCAAATTCGTTCTTCAAATACTACAATTTTCCCCCTTTTATAATCGATTTGATCACGCAACTGGTTTCTCGATTGAGCTAGGGTTTCGAATGTTGTAATTGAAGAGAAAAAAAATATGGCAAGAGATCTCGATAATTGGGAGCGCCTTGTTCGAGCTACTCTCAGGCGAGATCAGCTTCGGACTGCCGCTCCTACTCATGAGCGCCACCCTAGCGGCCTCGCTGGAGTTGTTCCGCCTTCGCTCCCGTGCTTCCCATATTGATGCTATTTTGCAGGCTGCTGATGAGATTCAAGATGAGGATCCTAATGTTGCTCGCACTTGTATGTTTTTCTTTCTCATTTCTTGTCAATTAATGGTATATTATGATTGCAAATTCGAGTTTTATGATATTTGATGCTTTTGGTTAATATAGAGTGTAGTTATTGGAAATTAATGATATTAGGTGATCAACTATATTAATTTTTTTCCATGATTTTGATGCAAAATGCTGCTCGTTTCGCTCGATCTACTTAATTAGTCTTGCTTCAGATTTGAATTTGTTCGTCTGATTTGCACAACCTGCCTTTGTGTTTCCTTTCATTGCATTTGTTGTTTGTTGTTTATCTAAGCTTCCTTTTGTTGTTTTTGTTTTCTTGGTGTTGTGCTATGATGTGCTAATGCAGTAATGTAGCTGTTGTTTTGTGTGTTGTTTTTTTTTTGCTGTTGCTTACACCCCTTGTGTTGTCCTTGGTTGAGCACCCTTCCGCTATGAGGGAATTTTTCGCTTTTGCAAGAATTGTGGTTTTGCAAGACATTCAAGGAAGCGTTGTAAAATTCGAAAAGTGGTGGCTAAGAGGCGGCTTAAAAGTCGTGTTGCCACTTTGGAAAATCAGGGAATGAGGGTCCTCTATGGCCCTCGTGAATATTTCTATTATACAAATGTTGTCAAGGGCTTGCCTAACTATAGGCGTTACAGAGATCTGGAGGCCAATCTGGTGAGGCCAGAGGAACCAAAAGATGTTCCTATGGAGGACAGGAACCTTGTAGGGGATGGCGATTCTATTTCAGATGATTTTTCTAATGATAGTGCGAGGAGTGACTACTCTGAAAATTATTATACAGGGTTTGAGCACTGAAAAGGGCACTCTAATCAATCTGTTTCTCAGGTCTACAGCCCATGTAACACCCCCAATTCTCTCTCTACGTAGATTGTAGAAAATACGTATAAATACCGTAGAGATAGACTTGGGCGTATTACCGTCGCGTAATAACGCAAGGCTTATACCAAAAAAATTACTTTTGCAGTGGAAAACTTTATTCTTTATTAAATAAACCATAGTAAAATTCGTTCATAATTCGTGACATAAAACGACTCAAACTTTTCCTAGCTAGGTGAAATTCCCGTGGACTCCCATATGCATCAATCAATTTCCACCTGAAATATTCACCTATTTACCATAAATGGTAAACAGGGCAAAGCCAAAACAAAAGCACGTATTAGCAAAGTATGCTAAGTAAGTCATGTGTAAGATAAGTAAAGCATAATTTAAATCATTCACGTTTAATTTATAAAAGAAATACTAATGCCGTATTCAAATAGAACTTTTCCAATCCAATTCTTTTAATTCAAGTTAAAAAACTCAATCGATTCATTCCAAACCAATTCCTCACTAAGTGTGCACACCCCCCAAGTGGTTTACTTTATAATCAAAGGCCAAACTTGAGGAAAGACTAGGTCATGCAAAGTCCATAGTCTTCTCTAATTTATTCCCTAAGTGGGATTCATAACACATCGATTGATTTGCATAAAAGCTCCTTTTTAAAATCCGTCATACTTGCATCACAATAAACTTGTAAATCTTTTCCAATAATTTCCAATCACAAATCAAAGCCTCTTTTAATTTTTATATCCAAAACATTAAATTCAATCCGACATAATTTCATAATTTAATACGGAACATAATATCATAAATTCATACGGAACATAAAACATGATTTCATACGGAATGTAATAAAATATGATTTGATACGGAACATAATAATTTATAATTTCATAATAAATCATAGTTTCATACGGAACATAAAATATAGGAATGTACTTTACACAAATATAATTTCATACGGAATAAATTATAATTTCATACGATCATAAAATGTAGTTTCATAATCAACTTTCGAAGGTATCAAACCACATAACGTACCTTGATCAACCACGAGCGATTCACAACTACTTCTCTAACTCACGAACACCCTACACATAATTAAACCTTAATTAATATAAGGCTAACAAATAAACGCAACAACTTAATTAAACTACCCTATATGTGCATGAATTAATTAAAATAATTTTCTGTTTATAATTTAAAGAATTTTTTTCTGTTTTTATAAAATTAATTTGTGTAAGAAATAATATTTAGAAAAAATGATTAATAATATAAAACAAGATTAAGAGAAAGGAGGTATTAAAGGATGGTGGTGGAACCTAGGGGTGAGCAAAGATCCAGGGTACCCGGTATCGGACCCGGAACCGGTTAGGACCTGCTAGGTCCGGACCCAGAATTGGTCTCACCGTTTCCGAGATCGGGTCCAAAATTTCGGACCCGGTTGTAACCGGTTCCGGTTCCAAATCCTAAAATGTGGATTGTTTTTGTTTTTAAAAAACTAAAGAGTTATGTACAACCCATTTTAATTTCTAACCCAATTGCTTATAAAATACTCAACCCACTATCAAACAAAACCCTAAAACTTCTAGATTTTTCTCTCCGCTCTACTATACCGGTTACCAAACATATATTGTACAAAATATATTTAAAAAAACAAAAATATTTTGAACGTAACTAATTAGTAAAAAAAATATTAATATTTAATATAATTAAAATAGCTTAATGTATATAAAAATATAAGTATTAAACGCTAAAAGTAAAAATACACCAAAAAAAATATTATGATTTGTATTATATTTCAACACTTATATATTTAAGTCGATACCCGGAATCGAAACCGGTACCCGGTGGAACCAATTCCAATTCCTAAATTTTAGGACCCGGTTGTACCGGTTCCAAATTTTAGGACCCGGTCCCAACCAATTCCGGGTCCGGATCCTAAAATTTTGACCGGGTACCCGGTTTGCTCACCCCTTGTGGAACCAAGGCAAGGGAGGAGCAAGCGACAGGCAGGGGTGGCAGCTGCTGGTGGTCGCCGGCAGCAGCAGGTGGTCGCCGGTGTTGGGCGGTCGCCGGTGGCCGGAAAATGGGAAGGAGGAAGAGAGGGGAAAAACTGTGAGAAAGAGAAGAGGAAGAAGAGAATTTCTTGAGGTTTTTGGTGTGATTCTTGGGGTGTTTGAAAGGGGTATTTATAGGTGTTTAGGTGATGGGTTTATGGCATTTTAGGGTTTATAAATTATGGAAGTTTTTGAGAAATAGAAATTAGGGTTTTAAATATATGGAAGGCTATAATATTTATTTGATCATGAAATTCTATTTGGTAGGTTTTAAGCTTGGAGTGCAAGTATGACATAGAATCAAATAATTTTAGGTTTAAGAATAGAAGTAAAGAAATTTAAAGGATTTTATTTTTAATAAAATAATTTAAAAATCTTTGTAGAAAAACCATGAATGGCCGAAAATATTGAGCAAAATATTACTCAATATTTTCGGACCTATTATGTTAGTTTAGGGATTTTGTAAAATAATTTATTTGTCAAAAATTAAAGATTTAATAAGTTTATAAGTATTTGGAAGAATAAATCAATTTTCTTTCTAGATTATTAGGGTGGCAGAAAATTTGGTTTATAATAAGGTATAAAAATCACATTTTTATTATATAAAATTTAAAATATTATTTGATTAATTTAGGAAATCATTTTATTTCATAAAAATAATTAATTTAGCAAATAATTAATAAAAATCGGATTTTTAATGTATAAAATCCGAAAATATGCTTCATTAGTTTAGGAATTGATTTTATTTTATGAAAATACTTTTACTTAGAGTAAAATCATATTTTTAATTGTAAAATTCGAAAATGATATTTATTTAGTTTTAGGAAATTAATTTTATTTCATGAAAATAATTAGTTTAGCAAGATATTAAGTAAAATTGGATTTTATTGGAAAAATCCAAAAATACTATTTACAAAAATCAGATTTTTAAATTCGAAAATTCCTCTAATTTTATTAATTAATATAGTTTTGTTTTATTATTTATTTAATCAAAATACTATTTATAAAATTTTTAGTTTATCCATTTAATTAAAATAAATGATTTAGGCGCCAAAATTCAAATATCATTTTGGCTCCAAAACTGAGATACTCTTAAGTTAGAAAATACGTTGAAAATACGAGACTAAATACTCTTTAATTTAGAAAATACCTTTCAAAAATACGGGGTATTACAACCCACAAGTAACAAGGCTGGGCTTGAACAACAATCCTTATGTGGTCTTCTATCCTTCTGTTCAGGCTCGCAGAAATGGGCAGGCTAGGGCTCTCTCCTTCTCTGAATGCTTGGTATTAGCACCATTGACAGTAATATGGTTCTCCCTTAAGTCAATGGTGCTATTTGCAAGGGTTAGGGTCCTTGGGAACCCTTCCTTGTACATCTTTTTTATGATAATTAGGTTGTCAATGTATTATATAGTCAATATTTTTTACTTTTTTTATCCAATTTGGTTTGCGTTTACTGTTAATCTAAAGTAGTTGGAGAAATGTACACTCAATGGAAGATCTTGAGAGTTGAAATGAAATTTTTGTTTGGATTTTCTGCAAGAATTTGTGTGTGAATTTGTTTCGATTTTCTTTTATTTTTTGTATTATGCTATATTGGTGCTGTATTAATTCAATGAATTAGGAGAAGGGACATCAGAGGATAAAGGACAACAGGAGAAAGATTCAGATGACAAGGAACAGCTGGAGAAAGCATCAGATGTTAATGAGCATTAAAAGTTATCTTATGATAAGGAGCAGTAGGAGAAGTTATCTGATGATAAGGAGAAGCAGGATAAGTTATCTGATGACAAGGAGGAGGAGTAGGAGAAGTTATCTGATGACAAGGAGGAGGAGCAGGAGAAGTTAACTGATGACAAGGAGGAGGAGGAGGAGATATCTAATGATAGTTACCTTATTTTTGTAAATAGTGCTTCTATATAAATGTGGTCAAAATTGATATAATTACCTTATTTTTATATACAGTGACCTTTGTTATTTTTATATATAGTGGCCTCTGTATAAATATGGTTAATATTGATATAGTTACCTTATTTTTGTATATAGTGACCTTTATGTAAATATGGTCAAAATTGATATAATTACCCTATTTTTTATGTAGTGACCTCTAAGTAAATATTGTAAAAATTGATACAGTTACCTTATTTCTATATATAGTTACCTTATTACTATATATAGTGACCTCGGTGTAAATGTCATCAAAATTAATATAACTTGATATATTTACCTTATTTTTGTATATACTGACCCCTGGGTTGTTTCACACCATCAGATTATCTAGTGAACATTCAATGGCTAAGATTGCTTGTTTTTAGTTTTCACCATAAGCTCTGTTTTCAGCGGAACTTCCTATATATATATATAAGAAATTTTAATTCTTACAATACTGATAGGCGTGTCGCGTACCTAACAAAAATAAACCTAACGAGACCACTACTATGTAGATGGGCAAGTAAGGATCGAATCCCAAGAGACTAAGGTTCACCGAATTAATTAGACTCAAATAATCACTAAGCAAGTATCAAATCAATGGTGAAATATTCTAAGAACTAATATATAAAGAACTCAATAAATCTAAAGAATGTGATAAAACAATGAACTAAAACATCCAAGATCAAGTATCACCACAATTATGATCGATGCAATTATCTATCTACCCCTAGCATACAAATCCAATTAACATGGGGAAAAGCAAACCCTAATCAATACCAAGGACCTCTCTCGAGTATCAATGACTTCTCTAACTACAATCAAGCCTATTCTCATGGAATCATGCAAATTAGAGACATTAAACACTTTACTTCGCTTCCCAATTATCAATTCAACTACTCTCGTGATGAATCTCAAACCCTAAATTGATTTACTCGAATCCGTTAAAACCCAACTCTGGTTGTGATTAAAATTATGGAATAATAACAATACTAATTATCTCTAATCTAGTATTGGCATAATCGCAATCAAATTAGCATAAATAATCGCAATTGTTACTAGAGAATTTAAAGAATTAATTCATGCATCAATCACAATTGGGCTACCCTAGATCTTGGAATACAAAAACTACTCACACATATTAGCAATCCCTAAAACAATAATCAATGGAGAAAATATAATTAAAAACAATAATAATTGAAAGAGAAGAGAAATAGATGAATACCAATGATGCTTCAATTGAAATAACTCAAATTGTTGATCATCAATAATCGAAACTAATGAAGTAATTAAAATGCTTGAAAGAAAGTAACTAGGGTTCTAGAGAGAGAAATAAAACCTAAGGAATTAACTAACTGTTTTCTAATGATGATTACAAGGGGTATTTATACCCTTAATGAAATAAAAATCCGAAAATAACAAAGCCGACCACTACTAGAAATAGGCTTATTTCCGAGGGAAAGCTTCCGACGGACTTTAATTCCCTCGGAAAATTCAAAAATTCCGAGGGAAATTGACTTTGTAGGAATAATTCGTCGGAACTGTTCCCTTCCGACGGAATATTCCGTCGAAATTGTTGCGACGGATTTTTTTTTCCCTCGATGATGTTTCGACGGAATATTCCCTCGGAGGGAAATATTTCCGTCAGAAGCTGCGATTAATTAAAAAAAATAATAACGTTCTGCAATCTGCACAGAAGCGAAATTAAAAAAAACGAAAGAAGAGAGAGAAGGCGACAGGAAGAGGAAGAAGAAGAGAGAGAAAGAGGAAGAGGGAGAAGGAGAAGGAGGAAGAGGGAGAAAGAGGAAGAGAGAGAAAGGGGAAGAGAGAGGAAGCGGAAGAGAGAGAAAGGGAGGAGGAAGAGAAAGAGAAAGGAAGAAGGAGAACTAGGAAGAGTGAGAAAGGCCTCCACCCAGCCGCCGCCGCCGCCGCAGGCCCCCCGCTGCCGCCCCGCCGCCGCCACAGGGCCCCCTCCGCTGCCGCCCCGCCGCCGGTAAGGGTTTGTTTATATTGTTTTTAAATTTTTTTCCTTCAAACCCTAACCACCACCTTTGAACTAGGGTGTACGAGAGTGTTCACCTAGTGGTGAAGTTGCCGGC